ATATAGTATATATATATATATATATATATATATATATATATATATATATATATATATATATATATATATATATATATATTCAGATTTCAAATTTTCCCTTCATTTTATTTTGGTTTTAGTGTTTTCTTTATTTATTTAATTTTTTTTTTCATTAAATGTACGCTTATTTATCTAGTGCTCAGAAATTCTTTATCCTCTTTAAAATTTATTCAAAGATTCGTAAGGAAATCATCAGCTGTTCTTCAAGCATAGGAATCGATGGAACTGCGAAATTTCTCAACGCACCTGTTGGATTATTGATTATGGGAAAAAAAGTTGTAAGCTATAATGCTTAAGAATAAGTTTTTAATTGATGGTATGGTTATTAGTATAACATTTAATCTTGTAATTTGATGAGATCAAAAACATTGGTTCAATTTCATATATTTAATACACTATAGAGTTCTTTTTCCTCTAAAGGGTAATAAAAAAAAGCGCAGTACAATGGCAAAAGGGTAACGCTCTAAAGAGCACTACAATCACCACTAAACAATAAAATATGTTTAAGTTAAATCTCCTAACGTTCTGGCCTTATCCAGTGTGTTTCACAATTAGAAAACTTTCATCAACGAGACAAACTTGTGATACATAAAACTACTTTGGCATCTGAGGTCCTCATTGGGTGATTTACCCACTTGTGTCATCACTACCCGCAGATAGCAAGCACATACAATGTATCGTGCCTGAAGGTCACTTTATTTTAATATCTTTCATATTCTGTGGAAGGCTAAGTTACGATGAATGTATTGTGGTACATCTGCAAGAATACAAACCTGGGCAGGGTAAATTATCATATATTTGGACAATAAATCAATTGTTACGCAACTTATGCTCGCTGGCAGTACTTTTGTCAAAGGATGGGGACCAAGTTATGATAATAAATGAAAGCAAATCTTGAGTCAAGGTGTAATAACTTCAGACTGCTTGATTGCCTTTTTCAAAGTTTTTAGAATCACCAAAAATTTGATAATAGAAATTACAGTAATGCGGTAAATATGATATCTGAATCTCCGACACTTTATTTTTCTTCAAAAAAGGCTAAGTTTATTTTTCTTCAAAAAATGGTTGTCCAGTAATCTATTGGTACAACAAATTACACAGTTTTCGAAAAAATTGAAGAGAATCACGGATTGTAAAGTCAATATCCACATCGATTTATTTGTAATTACTTTTTTACCGGTATGACCTATCCTGAAACACTGCTATTAGCACATCACTTATTTGAAATTTTATTTCCAGATTGAACTTTGTGATCTAGTAAAATTTTTAATGGTTTCTTTCTAAAATGGAAAAAAATGCAGTTTAGAAAAGTATTACCCGATCAAAATTATCCATTCTTCAGGAACTGCGCAGGACGTCAGGGCTTCTGTTTGTGTTAAAACGATAGAAGAAATCGGTATGCAAATATGCCAGGACTGTAAATGCGATTTTGAAGTGGCAGTGAGTTGCCGAAAGCTGAATTGAATATAGCATAGCGTGTTTGTTAAAATGGTGCGATTTTCTGGCTTTACTGTCATCCGGCGTTTTTTTTACTATGAAGGGTCTTGACTATTAAATTAGCTATAAAATACGGCGAGCAAGTTATAATACGTTAATCAGATAATTAAACCTAATTAACGGTCAATTATTCATGCGATCATTGTCTCTCGAAAATGTTAGAATTGAGTAATCCCATTGATTCAGCCATTTACACGTTTCCAAATTCTCATTTCGTGTTGCTCGTAAACAGTTGCTCATTTCAGCTTCCTCGTAATTCGGTTTCGTACATCTTTGCAGCTTCAGGTTCGAGTAACCATGCATTATTTGAACATACTACATTAGCACAATTATTTCTCTGTGAGACATTTTTATTGAATAAAAATTTGGTATTCCATTGAATCCGCAGCTGTACTTTTTATTTTTATATACAGTAGAATCAACATTTCATTTTGGCTTGGATTCTTAATATCAAAAAAAGATTCTTCCCTTTTATCTCTTTTGAAAACTTAAAGTTTGAAAAATAAAGAAAGGAAAGCTGGATATATCAAAGATTATTCACTTTTCTATCCGTTTCAAATGAGAAACAGGGTCGTAAACTTCCCCTTTCTGTTAATATGAATATTTTTTGGCGACATGAATTGTAATCTTGTTTGAAATTTCGACCATTTTAGGTTAACGATTAATCAACTGTACTATCACTACTCGCTATTATTAACCAATGAAGAAATAATAGAGTTTAAGACATTAAGCTTGTTCGTTTCATGTATTTGTAAACAACTTTGGTTTATTTCCCGAGACATCTGGATTATTTTCAAATGAGTGTCCATATTGATAGCTAAGAGGAATAATCAATAGAAATTATCGTAAAAAACGATGAGGCTTCACTGATACGAGCAGAGTAAACTCCTAGAAATTATGTTCTCAGGCGGTTACCATAAATGCGATAGCACCGCACATCTTAATTAGTCCTCATCTGGCTTATCATTACGACGATATAATTGTGGACAGTACAATAGCCCGTGGTTCACGAGAATGACCTCCTCACTATCATTCTCCTAGATACTTTGTTTGAGGTTAGCAGAGGCTGATTGTGAGTCCTCTGCTCTCTTTTTATTTGGTAGACTTTTATGATGTTCTTCTTCAGCTGCTCTTTGATTCTTTCATCAATTTTTTTAATCTGCCCGTTACTGTAGCACAAATAGCAGGAATTTCTGCCTATCAGCCAGCACCATACAAACAATTTCAGAAAAGTCAGTTACAAAAACAACGATGGAGGTGGAAGATTTTTTGCAGACAAAAATTAATATAACAAATGAATACGAAGGACAACATCAGGAAACCACCACATTTAATCAAGAAATCGTCAGTGGAACTTTCAGTGTATTACGAAGTACTAATGAATCGTCCCAGTTTAACCTCCATTTATTTATTGAAAAAGTTTATTTAATCTTCGGAAGGATTTCATAGGAGAACGATTCCTTCTACAAAAAGGAGCTACTGGATCAGTAAATTCAAAGGAAAATGACCTGATTGTTTTTGTTATTGTTTGTAGACCACATCATCATCGCAAAATTCTTTTAAATCGAAATTTCGATGTTTTCTTATTATCAAGACAATGATCATTAAAGATTTCATGCTACTTTAATAATAACCTACAACTTGAGATATATGTATCGTTATCTTTGTTCATGTTGGTAAGATTTTAACAAGGTGGTAGAACATGCATTGTCAGCTTCGCTCAGACTTCATTACATCAACTTACTTTACAATATGAATTAAAATGAAGAGGGAAAAAAGAAGGAACTAGAAAGAAACAAAAAGAAAGAATGTACGAGCTTTTAAATCATTAGTTTTTAATCATCATTATCATTATCATTATCATTAGTCTTAAATCACTTGAATCATTAGTCAGTCTTACACTTTTCAAAACTGTTAAACTAATATAACATCTATTTTCATATGGCCTTGGCAACAGTCATACACACGTGATCAGAGACACGGAACACAGAGATATCCCTGATGTAATTGAAAATGGCGAGAAAAGTAGTTACATTATAAAGCTACTGATTCATTTTTGAAAGCAGCAAATCGATCAGAAAAGAGATTGAAAAAAAAAAAAGAAAATACGGCACGCAGGAACACAACAGATAGGGAATCTTCCGCCAATATGACATGTGGTCTTTCCAGAGCTAAAGCGCTCACTTTCAAATCGATTTCCTTTCATCGTCACTGGCTTTAGCTAAAACCAGACAAAGTGTAAAAGAAGGGTACAAGAATGATATCTTGGGTTGTCGCAATAGCGTCACTGGCCTTCCAGAATGCCTTGCAGCAAATCAATGAACGATGTGATGTGCCTATTATCCAGGACAGCTCACTCCTCTTTATTTTGCATTTAAAACAGAACAAGTGTTGTTTGCCCCATTGTTTTTCTGCTAGTTGTTTGACACTAAACGCAATAATTCCTGAAATCAAGACATTTCTCAGTGAAGAAAAACGTGTGCAGTCACATCTATGGCCACTCTTCTACCATTCACAGCCTTAATGAAGATGCAGCAATTGGTGTGAAAAAAGTCCCCCGATTTTACGGAAGGAAACTTACGAAATAAATTTATCATTTCGAATAAATCACGAAGTGATCTTCGTCATTATCTGGTCATCTTGCAGAATGTGCCGCCTCGAAATATGGTAAGCGGGCAGCACGCCGGCATACAACTAAACAACGACTGCAAGTAAACTTGCATAATTTGAAACTGTCCCTCAGGTTTTTGTTGGTTCCGACTATAAGACTTAATATGTTAGCATATAATAGTATACAGATTTAGGTTGTTACTCCATATCTATTGATTTCTTTGAATCGCTCACGAAGCAATTTTCAAATGCATATAAAATCGTTTTTTTACGACTTGGTTTCCGAACAGTGAACTCAGGAATTATGATTAATTAGCATGCTGATTACCAGATTGATTTATTGGGCCAACAAGTACCGTAGTATCCAGGGATGTAGCGGGTTGTATTGCATGTTAAATATTCTTCAGTCCTTTTAATCTTCCGAAAGCGTGCCCAATTAAAAAGTTTTTCCTTTGCAGAAAGAGAAATAATATTGGCTTTCCCATTTGCTCAACATTTTAACAAAGTGAGAATTAAACAAAATAACTTTCACGGTTTTTTCTGATTAGTAATTGTTGGAAAATCAAATTAGATTATCACCTCACACCTAACACTGTCTTTTTCGACCTTTCCACTTCCTTTAACAGTAAATCTTTCTAATCAGAATCTCTAACAAAAATATCAGCACTCTTTCAAGCATTTTTCTCCCTCTCAGGAACTAAAAATATATATTTATAGTATTAATGTTACATTCATCACTTCCAATCTTGCGCTTTTTACAGGCTAGAAGAATGACATTAGCCAATGTCTCGTCTCATGATGAGACCTTACAGCGAAGTTTGCTATAGGATTCTCACCGATAAACGATGAGGTAAGTAACAGTATATTATAGCTTTTAGAGCGGGAGGTATAAGTCTACTTTCTTTTCCTGGTTCTTTTTGGCTGCAAAATGAAAGGCCAATTATTGGTAAGTGGAAAATTAAAAGGAGATATTCTCGTTTCGAATAATTAAATCATATTAGGGTTTTGTGCTCTTCTGATGAATCGTTTTATTTCGTCCAAATTTATTCCCTAAATCTGAATTTTCAAAGCATATTTTCCATATATTGGCAGAATGCTGCGACTTCCTAATGTTTTATAAATCAGGAAACATCTTTTAATTGTTTTCGAACTTCAGTGCAGTTTCTTACAAAAGATTTGGGTGCACATTTTTCAAAGGTATGTTGGTTCACTTTAGACAGAACTACTTGAAATCGTATGAGTTGCTTGATTGTCCGGTTTTCCTGGTTTGCTTTTTTGGATGTGCATTTATACATGTTGGATCCGGATATTTAAGAGCTTCATTGGTAGGCGCTAACGGTGCAGCCAACAGTGAAACTGTTCGAAGCGATCGACTTCATCATTCATCCATTGTTCCCTATTTTCAAGTAACACTTTTGTTATTATTTCGCAAAAATGAATGTTTCGAGAAGTAAAGCATTGTTCCATTCTTGGATTATTGTAATGATTGTTTTCCATTGGAAAAGTTCATCAAGTAACTTGAGCACAATGTTCGGTATTTTAATGGCAGTCATTCTAGGACACACAGAACTAATTGATAAAGATCATGACTTGAACTGCAATTAGAAATGGTCTAAATTTGCCTTCTTTAAGTAAAATCGATAACAGCGACCGTTAGGAAAACATTTTAACATTAGAATATTTTCATTTTGCTAACAGTTGTAATACAGTGTGAGAAGACATACAGAGGAGGGTAAAAATCAGCAACCACAATACCAAAAGAGTATGATTGATTTGCGTCATATATTTCTGCGGTTTATACTGAATATAAGCATGCCTTTGCTTTCTCCTGTCGTTTCCCGCCTGATCTTTTCTCCTTCCCCTTCCTTCAGGTGCGCAGATTGATTAATAGCGAAGCATTCAAAATGCACCCTCTACTTCTGCCCATGTAAGTTAAACGAACAAACACCCTTATTTTCCCCTCTCCAATTGTCGCTGGAAGAATTTGGCGTAGATCGATAATTTTGAATTAATCATTTTCGTTCGAATTCAAATGTACTCATGTGTACTTAAAGTTATTTGTTTTTTTACTCAAATAAAATTACTGCTGCTGTTAGTGCTTTACAATGTAGGTATAAACGATCTCGTATTATCTCCTTTTTAATCCAACCTTCTAACCATATTTGTCTGATCATCCCAGTTTTTCATCCATTTAGTACTAAAATTGAGTTTTTTGTTGTCATCATCAGCATTCCCTTACCAATCGCTCTCTTTTTAAAAACAGTAATTTGGAGTTTCTTACCATTAAAACTGTTTCGTCATTTTGACAGTTTTCAATTTATTTTCTATATTTTATTTGGAAAAAAGAAGAAAAAACGCTGGTAGTGAATTGATGGATAAGATTCAAGAGATTTTCTGACTAAATTTAGCAGAGAAATCAAAGAATTTGGTGAATTCTGAACTATGGCAGAGGACTCGTGCTGTAAGTATAATGTTCTGCTGTGCCAGTTTTAAGTTTGTCTTGTAATATGTTATCTTAGGGAAGCCGTTCATGTGAAACGACGATACTTCTCCTCAATGTAAGAAAGAAATATATGGAAAGTAAGAGATATCCCATTATCATAACTGCTTTATTTGCTTCGAGTTTTGCTTATATAAGTTTTATTTTCATGTCGCGTTTCAAGTCAGATGGATGATTCAAACAAATCTGTCGTAAATTAGGAAGCTAGCATAAAAGGTCTATTAGGCTGTTTGTGTGCTTGTTATACTGAAAAGTAATCTTAACGTGAGTCAGTCCAGTGGGTCACATTTTGATAGCGAATAGTGTTGAAATCAATCTGAGAATAAGGCTGGAACGTTTTAGGCGCCTGCAGACGTCTGTTAATGGAATAAGACATAACTTCTACATTGATAGTTGTGTTGTTTCCAGATAACAGTCTGTATTATTGTTTGGCAAGGGGTTGAATTATTCTACATGAAATAATAGGTCTGAACTAATCCTATATACTTTTACGCTTGAAAGCCAATAAAAAACTTGCCTACAATCATCTTTTCTATGCCGCTTTGATTTCCACTTTCAGTTTGCACTGCTTCTTTCAAGCTAATTAAAATTCAAAAACCGAACGTCTTATCTCCCTTCCATTCAGTCCATTAAATAATGTAACGAGAAAATAACAAATCGGTTTCTCATTAAATTTTATGATAACTTACATGCGGTCTGTTTATAATAGGATGAACGATTTGTTGATGTCAATTATAGTATAGCAAATATCTCTATAGATATGCCAACATTATAGTTTGAGAATGAGAATGAGGGAGTGTAACAGGAATTTCTTACTGAGATTCTACTCATAGACGCTTTTTTGGAATATTCAAGTTGGTTACTGATATGTGTTGTAGGGAAATGCAACAGTCCGTTCATTGAGCAACATACAAAAAAACTTGTATGTTGCTCAGTGAACGGACTGTTGCATTTTATTTGTTAAATGAATCAGTCGCATGCTGATCCATTTGTTGAATTTTATATTTCCAGCTCAGGACTGGTCATTTAATAAGCGCTACATTACTCATCATTTGCTTTTCTCATTCATTCATCAATCCATGAACAATTTCCAATGTCATGTTTTCGAGTATCTATTTTTTCTGAAAACATTCTTAAAATTCCTTTCAGAAATTAATTCGACGGTTGGTAATAATGAAAGCTAAAACTACTACGCTTAATAAATCATCTGAATTTTTACTGAGATGAAATTGTCAATGGTTCATTGAAAATTGCTCCTTGTTTCGCACAACGTTTCTTAATATTGCTGTGGGAACATGACAGTGAATAAAACATCAAATTTTTGAAGAGTGAAGCTAACACAATTATTATGCTATTCTACAGAGTAAGTGAACGCTCTTGAAGAAATCGACTAATATGGTATTGGACAAATCTCCTGAAGACAAGTACAGTGCTGTTTATTTCATTTTGCTACTTCACGGAATAGGCGTTTTGATGCCATGGAATATGTTCATCACAATTGCTCCCTCTGTAAGTTTGCATAATAATATAATGTTAAAAAATAAGTCGTTAATTGGAGTATTTCTCACCCACTAATAATGAAGGATTTAAATAAAATTGTCAATAATTTACTGGAAACTGCTTGTTGTTTTGCACAACGTTGCTTAACAATGTTGTAGAAATATCATGGAGAATAAGACATCAAGTTTTCAAAAAATAGAACTGATTCAAGTATTATTTTGCTTTAGAAATGAACAAATATAGTCCATGACTTAGGTCCGCTTGTGTTTGGATATCAAGCATATAGCTGCAGTTATTCCAGTCGTTCCCTTAACCCAGAATTTCACGATTTTAAATTTGAAATATCATATACAGTGCAATAAGTAAAATTTAACGATTTATTTTAAATAACAATGTATGAGAAATAGGGAGATCACAATTGATACTTTTTTGCATGATGTGACACCGTTCCTTTAATGTAGGGGATAAATCACACTTAAAAAATCTCAGCAAAAAGTTTCTCGTGACAGGTTATTTCAGCATTGATTGGAAGAAAAACCAAATTAAGCATGTGCAATTATGAGGGAACGCAAAAGCACAGAAACACTCGATGTATTATATGTACAGTCATCCTAGATTCTAAATCACTTGAAGTTTTTGTTGTAATGACCCGCTTCGAAAACTTAAAAATTTTAATGTTATATCATTCGAAGGATATCACGATACCCTTGCGGAATCATTGTCCAGAATCAGCAAAGTCCTTGTCCCTGTTACCAGCATTTTTCAAAAAATCATTATAAGTAAAACACGCTGCAGAAATCCAACGTCGTGAACTATGTCACTCATGTTTGAGTTGTCGGCTTTGTTTAATCCTTCGTGAAATACTTATTCTCTTAAAGGTCAATATGTCTCGTAACGTTTATTTAGTTTATGTTGAGCTTATTTGGCTATCGTTAAGCAAGAGAGATTTGCAAGCTGGAAGTTACAACTGACGAAACAATGACGCTTATGATAATAACATCGAAATTATTAACTTTACAAACAAATTTCAGTACTACGTGGGCTATAAATTCGTGGAGGTGCGTGCTGATGGTATAGTGCACAAGAGTGATTATGCTCTCCATTTTTTGGGTTATCTTGGACTCGCTTCGCAGATACCGACTTTGCTACTTAATCTGATCAACTTATTCGTCCAGATCAAGTTTGTATCATTTCGGAACATCCGTTTCATACTTTGTGTTTGAACTACAAATGTGCAGAGACTACAACGAAATAAATTTCCGGCTTATTCAAAAAAGTGAACTATTAGAAACCGATGAAATGATAAATAAATGGTAGATAACCCTGCGAGGTAGGTCACTCACAACCTAACCAGGGATGCTTGGGTGAGATGATTTGATTGGTAGTTTCTCATGCATCTGCTGTATTAGTAACCAGATGATCTTGATTTTCTCTAGTGATTTTGAGTGTTGAATTTAATGTGCTTAAGATCGATTTCAATGAACCGAAGCAAACTGGAATAAAAATGCATTGAAAGTGTCTAATTTGACCCATCTGATAACACTTGAGTTCCACTGACTTTTTGGCTAGTAAATTTGTCCGCAACAATTTGCAGAGGTGGTCTTAAGCGACGAATTAGCTTTTCGCTTTTTATTTTGGCGATTATCATTCTGGTAACACTCGTATTTACCCTTATTAACACTTCTCATAGTAAGTTTATATTTCCTTAACCAAGGTTAAATCTGGTCCCTATAAACTTTATTTTTTGCCATTATTTTCGCGTATTGGAGTGACTTTTAGTCTTCTTTACTATTCAGTTCATTCTTTCAGTGATTACTGCATTTTTTTTCATTACCATGACCACTGTGGTACTATTAAATGCAGCTAATGGCGTTTATCAAAGTTCACTCTATGGTTTAACTGCCAACTTTCCACCTCAATATACTAACGCACTGATACTGGGCAACAACATATGCGGTACATTTGTATCCATCGTAAATATTGTGACACTCGTTGGTAAGTTACATTTTATGCTTGGATTCTTCCATCGTTGGATGAATACTATTGGTTTTTTTACGCTGCATTCAGCCCTCTCATTATCAGCTCAAATCATCGCCATTTCAAATCCTAGTGCAGAAATACAGTGGTTGCTATCATGTTTCAGAACCTGCTTTCGTTATCAGGTGCTGGGCATTAACCTTGCTTGTTGACAAGTGGCATCCTCCAAACAAACATATGAAAACCAAAAATTGAAAAGTTAATTGTTTTGAGGCAGAAATGTGCATTTACAAATACAAAAGTCATCAAACACCGAAATCCTCATGGAATAAACCTTGTTTATTCGTTTTCAGCAGATTTTAAATAATACGAGTTGCGCCGCAGTAAGAGCGTATCTATTTAATTTCGATTCTTGCTTGCTGATGGCATATTTCTTGAGTAGTGACTGTAAAGTCATTTTTAATAATTTGCAAGAAATTTAAACATTTGGGCTGTATTAATAAACTGTCACTGGTGTTTCTGTCATTATGAAGTGGTAGCGCAACAAACTGTGCTTTGTAATGACGATCGATGTATTTTAGTAGCAAAAAATGTATGGATGGCGGCTTTCTTCTATTTCTTGATGTCTTTATTGACGGTGTCTGCTTGTCTTGGATCAATATTCATACTACAAAAACTTGTATGTTTACAATTTCGCCTCATCAGTTTTGTTAAAGATTGAAAATAATTAGTATGAAAAATTTCGTTATTTTAAAGCATGATTTCAGGAGTTTTACAAATACCATATGAAAAAAGCAAAAAAACACAGTGATAAGAACGAAAATGAAGAGAGCTTGCGTTTAGAAAGGATTAGCACTGTAGATGGAGCAGTCACGGATGGAACTGAAATGAACAGAATCGTGCCAAAAACAGGTTTGAAGGCAAAACTGAATTTATACTGCCAAGTTTTCAGAAAGGTTGGCATTTTGCATCCATTAATTTCAATTCTTGAAAAACTTAGCCAAGTAATTAAGACGTGTGCATACTTGCCTGGCGGTATCAACTTCTGAAAGTGCTATATTCGTTTTGGAGATTCTGAGCGATTTTTTTCTACTCGAAACACTTGACAAAAAACTTCATCATTAAAACACATGCCACTCATAGATGTCAGCCACAAAGCTGTCCTTCACTCAGTAACAAGCTGATTCCAAAATACCGCACATCAGTCATCAGTCATAATTTTTACTGAAATTAGTAAGCGATGTTTGCTAACCCAAGATGAATAGGCACAGTCGAGCATAAATTATTTCTTGGAATTCTTCAGTAACCCGCAGATTCCTTCTCTTGAATCATGTTCGAAATTAAATTTTTGTAATGTGATGTTGTGGATTTAACACACTTTCAGATTTGGATTCAGTGTTTCAATGTGTGGTGTGTATTTTTCGTCACACTGACGCTGTTTCCTGTAGTAATGGCTGATATTAAATACTACAGCAAAAGTGGAAAATATGATTTCTTCATACCAGGTGCTTTTTTAAATTCGCTCCAACCTTCTCCCATCTTTTAGCAGATAAACAGAATCATAACAATGGTGCTAGTTAAATTAATAATAATAACTCGGTCGTGACAATCGTAAAGGCCTCAATCAACTCACGAGAAAACTTCGTGAGGAAGTAGAACAATTGATGCGCAGTTTAGGTTTGATAAATATTAGCTTCTTGACTCAATAACTCTAACAGGAAAGAAAATCTATATTGGATGGTAGTAGAAAGCGGATTTGCTTGAATTATTAAACATCCCGCCACATCTGTTGGTTGCATTTCCATCATTGAGCTAAACTTATGAATTTTTCATTATTCGATATACCATCAAACGACCCAACCACTTTTTAGTCTCGCTTCTGATCACGTCTGAAAAATTTTCAAACCGCAAAAACAAAAAAAATTGTTTAGTAAAGTTCAAGGCATTTCTATTCTGATGCTTTTGATGTTCAATTAGCAAATTTGTAGAAAAGCTGTTCACTCCTGTCACAACATATCTGATGTTCAATTTCTTTGCTGCTGCTGGATCATTTTTGGCTAATTTTGTGCAGTGGGTATGTCATTTCTAAAATAACTTTGGAATTTCGATTTATTTGTTTGAAATTCTCTTTTCGAAGATAGAATTTCACGACCAAAATTTTAGCCATCACCAAGGTGGGTAGTTGTCCCGGTAACAGCACGCATTGCATTTATTCCACTAATGATATTCTGTTATTTCCGACCTGAATACAGAACTTGGAATGTGTGGTTCTATAACGTATGGATTTACATTATTTTTGCAGTCATCATGTCCATCACTAGTGGATACTTTAGCTCCGTAATAATGATGTACGTCCCAAGGTAAGCATAAGTTCGTCTTACATATATACCATGTGCTAACAGTAGTGCTTCTTGTATGTTATATCCCTTGTTTAGAGTACTGATTGTTTTCAGAATTGAAATACTTTAACATAGCCCAGAATTATTTTATTTAGGATAGTAGAACCATCCAAGTCGACAGCCGCGGGCATGATAGCAGCGTTCTTCCTGATCTTCGGTTTCTGTTTTTGTTTGTTTAATACATTGATTTCTAGATTTACATGAAGAAAAGAAAAAGAGTAGCATCCTTCCCATTAAATCCTTTTCTAAATAATCGATTTCGTGTTAAACTAGAGGTTATAAGCAGAACGTATGTTCGCATCGTAGATCTCTTTTGGAAAACCGATGCTCGGCCTTGTCAGGTGGGTGAGCATAAATAAGAGACGTGATATAATAGAATGCCGTATAATTTTAGTGAGAATGTATTTTAACATGTTTTTTTCTCATAAGGAGCTACCAAATATTTCAATTCTGTTAATCCATCTTACTTTGCGAGTCAGAAATATAAGGGACTTTGGAGAACTTTGGTTACATGCATTTATTTTCCCTCTGTTACATTTACAAACCGCTAGAATGCAAGAAGTGCCGAGCATTATCGTTTTGAGCAATACGCTTTTTGCAGGCATAGCATCTGGCATAACGTTCACATTTTTCGTTTCTTGGTTCATCGATAACGCAGGAGCACACAACCCGAGAAATTCTGACACAGTGATGCCTTAAACTGCTATATTTAATGCTCTTGTTAAAAAATAAATTTTGTCATTGATTTCGAATTTGCTCATCGTATCTCAAGCGAAGTTTTCCCTGTGCCCCTGAACTAACGATCACTAATAGATAAGGCGTGCTACGAGGCCGTTAAGAGGTAAAAACCCAAGTACGTGATACCACGAACGTTACATTACACCAGATAAATGATTTATCAGCAATACGATAGCGGAATTTGTCAAGAACAGGACAGGAAAGCAAACCGCAAAAAAATCGATCCTTATCATCCTAGATATAAATGGTTAGGGAGAACAGGGACTAATTTTATCTTCTAGAATCCTCAGCTCTCAGGAATTGTACACATTTGTCTGAGCGCCATTTATACCAATTTTAATGTTAGCACACAACATTCCTGGCACACATA